GCAGTCTGTTTGTAAAGACAGTAACTGCATCCACATCATCCTTGCCACTGAAATTTCTTAACACTGCCTTCACAGTTTCCTCTGCTGTGGGTTTCCGTTGAGAAGCTTTGGCCACTGCAAAAATCATCTTGATCAAGCTGTAATAGTCACGTAGGCCAAAAAACCCCTTGCCTTGCTTGCGGCAGATGTTCAAGTAGGCCCTTGCAAAGGGCTGGAAGAAATCCCTCACCTTCTCCAAAACCATCCTATCAGATGAGCATATGCCTTTAGCACTTTCAATGAGTTCCTTCTCATCAGGGTCACCACGGGAGACAAAAATGCCTCTGTTCATCTTTGCAGGGTCTAAAGCCCAGTTGGAGATGCCAATGAAGCCAACCTTTTTGTGTGGTAATGGCTCATCATCAATGCATCCTTCTTCTAGCAGTGGATGAAGGGTTTTCAGTGGCATCTTTGGAGAGTCCTCAGCCAGCCCAATCTCATCAAGAACCACAACTGAAATGTACTCATTCAGATTCTTTCCTTCCTGGAAGCGTCCACATTGTTTGAATGTATTGATGATACCTTCTGGTGTTGAGTGAGGGCTACACTGGAACGACACCAAATGGATCTGTTTCAGCCTTTTGTAAAGGTCAGAATGAGCAGCTTGACCTTGCATTGCATCTGCCACCAGAGTTTTAGACAGAGACTTTGAACTTCCAGGTTTTCCAACTAAGAAGAGAGGGATTCTTAACTCAATGCAAAGAACCATCATGAAGACATTTTCTTTGAGGGCAATATTTCTTGCAATAGTATCTCCCATTGGCACACCGCTCAAAAGTAAATCCTGCATGAGTGAGATTTCCTGCATTATCTTTGCTGGGCTGTATGGTGTTGGCAGCTTTCTGCTGATTTTCTGTCTGTATTTATCCTTATTTTCTAGGCAGGCATGGTAGCACACCCCTATGGCCATGACTAGAGACCAAAAAACAGGGTGTCTGACCTCAGACTGCCTCTGATGCCTTTCATTTTGATCAGCATGTTGTTTACTCTCAAATTCTTCCAGCTCTGCAAAAAATGTGGCATGATTGTCATAGAACCAAACCAGAGCCTGCATACAGCGTTCCACATCTCTCAGGCTGACAAAGCTGCATTCATCCTTTCTTGTCCGCATATACATCTGTGAGGCTGAAAGGACATCAGTGATACACTTAACGAAACTTTCACTGATTGCTTTGTTGTCAACCACTCTTTGCACAATCTGTTGAATATATATTTTCTCTGCATGATCATTTAACTGTCCAAAATCCCAAACCAGAGGAATCATGCTTGGTGGCAATGCTTGAACTCTATACACTAACTGTCGGAGAGGAATAGACCCAAGCTTTTCATCCGTCTCTTCAGCTCGAACTCTGTACCCAAGGCCAGCAGATTCTAACCTCTGAATCATCTCATCTGTGTGCTTTCTGTAAGGGTTGCATGCTGCAATAATCTGCAGTCCACAGTTGGGTGTCAAACTTTCTCCCTTGACTGTCTTGTCACAGAGGATCTCCTTAATACTGCCGATGGCCTCAGTAGTGTTGGCCTCATCAAAGAACAGAACAGAGTCAAATCCATAGTCTTGCTTGTTGATATAAGCAATGTCTTCTGCTTCTCTGACTTTGGTGTAAATCATCTCTGAAGTTGTCCCTCCATGCACCTTGACCAGTTTCATGTTTTCAGTGGCCACTCCACTCCTCCGCAACTCACAAAGGAATTTGATTAGCCGTGTTTTACCACACCCTGTCTCACCCATGATAATGACTGGGATACCACACCTGAACCGCATATGAATTGCCAACATCTTCAGTATGTTGTCAGTTGTAAGTTCATAGGTTTCATCAGGGTCGAGAGGCCACTGGATACCAAGAACATTACAGATTCTCTCTATTTTCTCCCCTCTTGGAAGGTGATCAAAGTCAATGTTGAAAGGGACTCTCTGTAGCTGTAGGCCTTCATACAGTGCCCTTGTCATCACATTCTTTTTTATCACCCTTCGAGAGGTAGGCTCAATGGCATCAACAAAGTTCTGTTCATTGGGCTGAAGATGGAAACCAATGAAGGTCATGGATACATGGTCATCATTAAAGAAAATGTATGGATGTGGTTCTGTTTCCCATCTCTTCCTAATCAAAAAAGGAGCCAAATCTTCATCTCGGACACCGGTCAGGTCCATCTGCATCCTTCCAGGACTCTGATCAGAGATGCTGAGTGATGGAGTGGCAAAGTCCTTTGCCATCATAATCATGAAATCCACTACAAAGGTTTTGAATCCAGCAAGTGTATCTCCAGTGAAAGTAGCATCACAAAAAACAGAAGTCTCACAGTCTTGCAGCTGAAGGTTAAGAAACCATGCAAAATTTCTCAGTTCTGCCCAGGATGGGTCCATGATGCCACAGTACATAAGAAACATCTGAAGACATTCCACATGTGACCCTTCAACTCCCTGATATGTGAACACACCAAGATCGATGTGGTTATAAAACCGAGTGAGATACTGGTATGGCCGCTGAAAGGCTCGACTCCTGAATTCTTCATCATCCATTAGTGGGTCATCGGCACTCACAATGGTAGGATCTTCTTGCTTCCTCATCTCTAGCATTAGCAC